TTTCAAGTTTTTTAAATATATGCAGAGAAGTAATTAATTTTATTATTGCATGCTATTAAATCATAAGAATTTGGAAATATTTAAAAAGTCATTTTTCTCAAACGTAAATTATATTTTATTAATTAATTAGATTTTTAAAAAATTAAGTTTATAATATCATTTACTTATAATAATTTTTTAACAGAATTTACTTCTTCTGATGAACATTGTTCCAATTTTCTCTTTTGTGGTGTTTTGCTTGCTTTTATTATTTTAATAACCGACATCTGGCCTTCTATTTTTTTAATATTGTTGCAATTATCGACTTCTAAGTATTGTAGGCATAGTTTACCGTAAGACGAGAGAACCGGGGACGTTCCGTCCCTGGTCAAGAGAGTATGTTCAGGTCTCGACCGGCGAAGAGACAAAAGAGCGCGGGGAAGATTCCCGGACGGGCAAGCGACGAAAAGACAGACGAAAAGACAGACGAAACGCAGAAGAGACAAAAAAAGACGGGGGGACGGACAAGCAACGGGCAGACGAGACGAGACGAGATCGCGAGGAAAGCGTGACGGAAGAAATCGCGAGACTTTTGTAAGTTGGACTGGGTGAGAAATAAACCTACAGACTTTCAAAAGTGGGATCCGAACTGTCGGCGCATAGTGAGGTACACGCGGGATATCTTGCGAAAATATCCGTGTACGGGCGGTATCGTTACTGTTCTGTGTGAACACTATCGTTCTGGTTTGTGGATACTGTGTGTTGGAGAGAAAACTGGAAGGGGTCACCGCTATTTACTTGTCATTATCGATGCATTTACTAAATTTATCAGAATTTACCCCTGTAAATCTCCTACAACTGACGAATCAATAAAATGCTTGCGTGACTACTTCCGCGCGTATAGTAAACCTAAGCGTTTAATTTCGGACAGAGGTTCGTGTTTCACATCCGATGCGTTCGCAGAATTTTTACGAGACGAGGGTACCGAACACGTTCTTGTCGCTGTAAGTACACCAAGGGCTAATGGTCAAGTAGAACGGTTCAATAGAATAATAACACCAATGTTGACAAAGCTGAGCGAAAACCCCTCCAAATGGGATCAAGTCTTAGATAAAGTCGAATACTCCTTGAATAATACTATCTGTCGGGCAACTAACGAGACTCCTTCACGTTTGTTATTCGGAATAAGTCAAAAAGGAAAAACAAATGATCTATTACGCGATATACTTGATTCGGATGTGGAACGTGATCTCGAACAAATTCGGAATAAAGCCAGTGTAAATATTCAGGAGTTACAACACCAAAATGCGAAGCGATATAATTTGCGACGAAAAGCCGCGTACGAGTATAATGTTGGCGATTATATAGAGATACGTAATACTGAGGTAACACCCGGCGTAAACAAGAAGCTAATACCTAAGTTTAAAGGCCCGTACGTCGTTAAAAAAGTTCTAGATTATGATCGGTACGTCGTTACTGATATTGATGGATTCCAGGTAACCCAGCGGCCATATACCGGCGTTGTAGCGCCAGATCAGATGCGACCTTATATTCGCCCGTAATTTTAAGATATCCGCGTGAATGCGTTTTATATTACTTATTGCGTTTCTATGTATTCTCCATGTATTGTTATATTCTAATGTATCCGCGTGAATGCGTTTTATATTACTTGTTGCGTTTCCATGTATTCACCATGTATTGTTATACTCTAATGTTATCTGCGTTCCCGTAATTGTCTGTCGACTGCGAAAAAATCTTTTGTAATAACTTCCATTTATTTGACCGAGACGGTCAAACTGTCAGGATGGCCGAGCTGTAGGCATAGTTTACCGTAAGACGAACCGGGGACGTTCCGTCCCTGGTCAAGAGAGTATGTTCAGGTCTCGACCGGCGAAGAGACAAAAGAGCGCGGGGAAGATTCCCGGACGGGCAAGCGACGAAAAGACAGACGAAAAGACAGACGAAACGCAGAAGAGACAAAAAAAGACGGGGGGACGGACAAGCAACGGGCAGACGAGACGAGACGAGATCGCGAGGAAAGCGTGACGGAAGAAATCGCGAGACTTTTGTAAGTTGGACTGGGTGAGAAATAAACCTACAGTATGGTGGATCTGTATAAGAGTAAACTAATTATTTTTTCAGAACTTTTAATTTTTA